GTGTTGTCTTCAAATCCACATGCAATGAGATTCTTTCCCTCCTCATAAGCATACCAATGACAACTACACTGTCTAATCCAAAGACTCAGTTATCTTTTCGGGTAAGAACCAAAACGTAACTTCGAATTTACGGGTTAGTGTATTTTAGATCTTACATAAATACTCAGCATTTGTTAAGGTCGTGTTTTATTCAAATGTGAAAAAATTGGAAGGTTTATTTGCTTTTACAATTGATGACAATAACCAACAAATCATTGTTCTGTAAAATTGTGTGTGGATATGGACCATGTACTTACCGACAAATTTTTATATTGAATATGTTCTATAATTACATACATGGTAGTGGAGCGAAGCTCCGAGCTAACATCTTACAAATTTGGCCTATATGTGGAGTGAATGAGTAGCTCACTGGTGGATATTATGCATAGAAGCATATCACTAATTTGTAGAGTACATAATTGGTAATTCTTGTTAGCATGTCCCTACAGTGTTTTTAAAGTAAATAGAAGTCGCATGTTCCACTTGAGTTACTTGTTTTGAACTTGAAAATGCAATACCAGGGATTAGTAAAACCATTTAGCAGTAATTACTCTTTATTATTATTAAAACGTAATATTAATATTTTCATCTGCGAAATTGTGGTCTTGAATTCTGAATGTATTTGGAAACCAATTTGTAAGAAAAATGTCTGAATCTGAAAGCTAGAGGACGAGAAATTATGTGATTCTGAATATCTGATGTACATTCCGTAAGTACTATTGTTGCTTTGCAGACCGAAGGGCTATGGGATTTTCCATTATAATGAGACAGTACTTGGAAGTTGCTGCTTATTTCCCGTTAAACAACAACGGGTTTTCTTTTGTACCTCATTCACGTTGTTTGTGAAGTGAACGTAAACCAAGTCCAGAAGGTAGCGACATAATGCTGGTCTCTTATTGGTCCCCAGCTTAGGTTATAATAGCGCGGTTTATATGATCTGGTTTGTTATAGCAGAACACGGGGTTGTGAGCTTAGGCAGTGTAGTTGAGATGTGCTGAGGTGCAAGAGGGTTCCAGGTGCAACGGGCAGAAGCTCCTTGCAGAGGGGAACCCGAGAGCTCTTCAAAATAAAGGCAAGGGCTGGGGAAAAATCTCGCGCAGGAAATACGAGTCCGGGGCACGTGACACTCATCTGTAAAGATTTCGGGGGT